TCTATCTATTCCGCCAAGACCAAATACATTAACATTGTCATATCCATCACCATGTTAAATCTTCCGAGAGTTGTCATGATTGAAATATATATATATATATATATATATAAGTCACTGTAACAGACCAAAGCAGCTGAGAGACATCACAGATAGCTAGACCTGCCACTGGGCATTGGTCTAATAGCACATTGATACCCAGGGATATCAGTGCAACTGGGTGAACCATAGTGGATAATGTGCAGTGTGCATGTGTAATGTCTCATTAAAAGCAAACAAATCTACTTTCACTATGTCACATTTCCTCCAGAATAACTCCAAACTGTATTTGATTCCAGTTTCATGCCAATGTTAGAATGGGCCATGATCGCATTCCCCACTGATGGTTCAGATAGGACACAATTGTCTTCTTGTCTGGCCTTATCTCTACACCTCTTGATGGAAATCTGAGGAGAAGGCAATCAGCCAGCAAGGTGGGAAAGCAGAGTGATCTGCCAGAAAACAATAATCTAAAATGGACTTTTATTCTTCAGTTGGGGTCTCATCCATCCAGTCCCGGTGCCATTTTCCAATGCATGGGAGGTGATCCCAAGCAGCTTAGTAAGAGTCACTGTGGGGTTAAAGTTTGGCTTCAGCCTGACCTCCAGTGAACTCCACATATTCTAACTCCATCATAGACATACCATATTTCCATTTGTCCTCTAGCCCATAGGAAAACAAATGCTCAAATTTCAACTCTGCTTATGTAGTGACCTCCCAGATGTCAAGTGGTGCTAACATCAGAGCAAAGAATTGAGCATTTCTAAGTTTGCAGTGCAGGAAATCAGATCCCTCCAACACAGCCCTGGTGCAACAAACTTCCAAACAGGCAACATACATATTGAGCATACTTTCACCAACAGTAAATCACATGAAAGAGGTAAACCCTTCCAGTTAGTCATAGGAATAATGGGCTGAGACCATCTGGGTATTGAAGGATCTGCCATGATGATGCAAAGCCTGTGCTTAGTAGGCTATGATGACATAGCTCCTTATGGGCAATGTGCACCATTGAACTGTACAAAATAACTGTTGTGATTCTGTAGGACTTCAGAGCATGTGACCACTGATGTGTTCCCATTGTGCAACCAACAAACACAGAGTTACTACAAAAGAGAACACCCTACCAATTGAGCCAAAAACACTGCAATGTATTATCACCAGCTTAACTGCTTACTGATCTCTTTTACCTGACAATATGACATTGGCCTGCTAATTCTGGTATTTTGAGAGGAAAAAGAAGACAGTTTGCATTTTAATCAGTTTATACTGGCTTTTTATATTCATTAATTCCAAAAAGATATTTTGAATGGGCACACTTTATCCTTTAGGAAAGCAAGATGGAGACAAGAAAGACAAAACAGCAACAGATGACAAGGTAAAAGGCTGCTGCACTAGTGTTCATGCTGTGTCAAACCAAGAAACATTTGCATTTACCTTTTACACATTTAAAAGTTGCATGGGCTGGTTTGTCAACTTTACACAGACTTTATATACAGTACGTTCTTGTGCTGATGCTGATTGTGTCCAGAATATTTAATATTATTATTTCATTTTGAGTTTAAATGTATGTGTGTGTGTGTGTGCCCTTCAGTTTGTCTTGGTGCTTGTTGCAACTTGGGTAGTTTTTAGCAGTCATTAGAGGTGCTTGCTAAGCCACATATCACTATCACTATTACTATTGCTCATAGTGATGGGTTAGGGGTTGAAACACAACTCTAAATACAGTACAGCATGAAAGGTACCTCAAAATGTATGGTTTGCTGTGGAGAGGTGTGCTTGAATGAAAAGCATGAAAAGTATATTACATACTTTTGTTAAAATGTCTCAATGGTAGTGTAAAACAATACCCTTTTTACCCTGTCAAAAACAGCTCTGTTCACAGTGAGCCATTTAGGTGCATGTCCCTTTAAATGCTAATTTAACTGAACGCTGTCCACCCCACCCCTCGCTTCCGTGAGGTGGCGAGCAGTTCTTTGAGACTGTAAACTTTAGCCGCATTTAGCCATGGAAGATTGCAAAGGCGATTTGCAAAGATTCATAAAAAACGTCTCCAGGTTACGCATGTAACCATGGTTCACCAAACGGAATGAGACGCTGTGTCGAAATGCTTTGGGAATGCCTTCAGCGTTACCACGCTCTGAATCACATGTGTAATCAGTCCAATGGATGGGCGAGACGTCACGGGCGGGGTGACGTAACGACCAGGAAGCTTAAAAGCATGTGTGGTGGAACCGGCGTCAGCTTCTAGGAATGAAGCAAGTGCTCGCAGGAATGCCGGAAGTATGGCACTGAGACGCAGCGTCTCGTTCCCTTCGGGGAACCATGGTTAAATGTGTATCCTGGAGACGTTCCCCTTCAGGAACTCGAGCTGCGACGAAAAGCTTTGGGAACGAGAATGCCCACACCGCCAGACTTACAAATCCCTGCCTAGTGTGGAAGAGCACAGCTATGGTGAGAGAACAGAAGAGCCCAGAGTGGCTCGCATATCTAGGCCATAGAACCTGATGAACGTGAGGGGTGTGGACCAACCCGCAGAGTTGCAGATGTCCTGCATAGACACATCTGCCGGAAAGGCCTTGGAGGCCGCCACACTTCTCGTTGAGTGAGCCTTGACCCCCAGAGGTGAGGGGAGATCAGAGGACTCGAGGCTATGGAATAGCATTCTGATCCACCGCTTAGCATAAGCTTCTCTAGCCGAAGGCCTCAGCGCACCGCGGAGGAAACGTGTAACTAGGGGGTGTCTGCCCACTGACTGGCCACCGAGAGGGGCATGGTAGGCCGCAATGGCTGCCACGTAGACCTTCAGGGTGGAGTCAACCCTGCAGAGAAACAGGCCTGCGGGATCTCCAGCACTGTACCAACTGGGCAGTCAACTGGGTCGAGCTGGCGGTCTCCGCATTAAGAAGTGAAAAGCTTCCACTTTAAGGCATACAGTTTCCTCGTGGAGGGAGCTCTGGATTGGAGGATGGTCTCAACAACCTCGGTTGAGAGACCGGAAGCTACGAGTTTTGCCCCCTCAGAGGCCACACCCACAGCTTCCACAGCTCCGGGCGGGGGTGAAGATCGTACCCTCTGCCTGTGAGAGGAGATCCCTCCTGACGGGAATCTCCCATGGAGAGCCGTCAAGGAGGAAAATCAGGTCCGAGAACCATACTCGGCCCGGCCAGAAAGGGGCCACTAGTAGTAGACGGACCCAGTCCCGGCGCACTCTCTCCAGAACTCCCAGGAGCAGAACGATCGGGGGAAAGGCAGACGAAGCCTCAGCCACGTCTGTACCATAGCGTCCAGTCCGAGAGGAGCTGGATGAGTCAGAGATAACCAAAGGGGACAGTGCGATGTCATGTGAGTCGCAAACAGGTCCACCTGAGCCTGGCCAAAAGTCTCCATTCCCTGGGCCTCGGCCCCTGCCTCGACAGGATGTCTGCTCCCATATTGAGATGCCCAGGAATGTGAACTGCTCTCAGCGAGAGGAGTTTGCCCTGGGACCACACAAGAATCTGGTGTGCCAGCCTGTAGAGGGGGCGCGAACGCAGACCTCCTCGGTGGTTGATATAAGAGACCACCGCTGTGTTGTCGGTGCGCACCAACACATGGCGATCTCTTAGGTCCGGGAGAAAGTGTTTCAAAGCTAGAAAGACGCCACTTGATG